AGAGAAGTTAGGGGTTTGAAAACCTAGACGGGATGGCAATTAGAGATAGGAAAAAAGGACGATTAGTTAGATATAAAAAGGGAGGTTTATAAATGGATGACCATTAGAGATAAGAGCTAAAAATGAGGATTTGTTTTAAGAGATAATGGTTAAAGGATAAGGAGTAGTTTTAAGAGATAAGAAGAGGTTTATAAAGCTTGGATAGTTTTAAATAGGCAATGATAACTTTTATTTTTTGAGTGTTAAGTAATATGAATCAAAAAACAGTGCCTTTAGAGTAAACTACATATTTGGTCTGTGTGATTTGGTGGTTATAACACTTTTCATTCATCTAGTTTTGTAACTACAAATTGGCTATCGTGGTTCGGAAAAGCGATTGGATTTGGTCTCTTTCTCTAAACTACTATTAAAAATCCCCTTAGATGAGGGATATTTTAGACTTTTGTCTTTTTTAATTTAAAAATAAATAAAAAAACTAAATCAAATCATTCCAGTAAACAGTAGAAGCATTGAACAAAATTAAAACCAAGATATAAACTCAAAATACAAACATAAGAACCAACCATTTTCCAAAATCAAGAACCCTAAATCAAGATACAAAGTCAAACCTTGAATCAAGATACAAACTCAAAAAACCTAAAATTAAACCTTAAAAAATATAAAAAATACTAATAAAACCATAACAAATCTGATAAACTAATTCAAACCTTAAAAAATTGAAATCAACCCCTGGATTTGAAGATAGGGGGAGCCAGGATCGAACTCTCCATGAGATTTATAGTTGCATCACTTATAGCTTCCTTGAGCGTAGATCCATGCATTAAGATAAATCGAGTTGAAGGCTTGAATATATGTACATCGTTGTAAAGACAAGGCATTTATTAGAGATGGTTCATTACTGAGTGTTCCTCGTCATAAAGGGATCGAGTTATAGGCGTCCATCGAAGAGGGTTCATCAGTGAGTGTTCCTCGCTAGAAAGGGATCGAGTTGCTGGATTACATAAGAGGGTGTTCATCGCTTCATTAATAAAGAAAAAAGAGGAGAAAGAGGGGGGGGGGGAAGGTGTCGGTCGATGAAGAGGTGTTGCCTGGTCCAATTGATCATTCCTGGAGGAGATCGGAGATGCGTCGTTTGGAGGATATATGCGATGGAAGAAAAACTGTTTACGCATCACAAGTAAATACATTTTGTGTGTCTATATAATAGTAATTAAATATACAAAATCTAATTGATATTAATTAGAGTTTATTTTTTATAAAAGAAAAAATAAAAAGACAAAAGTCTAAAATACCTCGCACTTAACGGGATTTTATAACGATTGTTAGAGGGAAGGATCAAATCCGATTGTTTTTATAAACCAAGATGGTCAATTTGTAATTTTAAAAATGTAAAAATAAAAAACGTGTAACCACCAAACTACATGAATCTAATTTTTAATTTACTTCTATTTTTATTACTTTGTGAATAGAAAACTTGAAGAAAATCATGACTTGATGACATTATTTACAGAGTTAATTAGTGGGATGAAAAAGAAAAAACAAATGGAAATCACGAAAAACATAATTCTTAAACTATAAGAATAAAAATAACAATTTTGAACAAACCCCTAAAACAAAAAAACATAGTTTACTCAATTTCTAAATAGGTTGTTTTAAGTAATTTAATATTATTATTCATCTTATCGGTTGTTATATTTTTTCCCCAAAATCCATAGCCCGAACACAAGCATATGTTTTTTAAAGTACTAATTAGGGCTTAAAAAGAAAAGGGTAAGCCAATGTTATAAGAGAAAAGTACAATAAAAACCAATGGACTTTCTTGTTTAGAATGATTAAGTCTTTAGACTTTTTTTGCAACAAATAAGTCCTTGGACATTCCAAAACATGTTAAATAAGTCTTTGAACAATTTTTTAAAACAAATAAGTCATTGGACATTTCAAAATATGTTAAATAAATCATTGGACAATTTTTGGAATAAATAAGTCCTTGGACATTCCAAAAAATGTTAAATAACTCATTGGACAATTTTTGGAACAAATAAGTCATTGAACAATCCAAAACATGTTAAATAACTTCTTGAACTTTTATAAAACATGTTGGATATATTTTTATGACTTGTACAACTAGTTAAAGTGGTAAAATAGTGAAAAAAATCCGGAAAAAAACCC